TGCGCCAGTCCCCAGCCTGTCTTCTCACTCAACTGGACGACTAAATCGCGCCTTTCGCCCCCTCTTGTGCGCGCATGGTATTCCGTACTGGGAAGGTCGTTAAGACTTTAAGTGGCTCGCTAACGTGCAGCGCCCAGGTACTAGAAGCCATATCGAAGATACTCATGTAGCTAGTAACTAGACAAATGTGTATTCGGGGGGTGTGTGTGTGTGCTGCAGGTGTCCCGTCCGAGGTCAACGCCCGCCCACACCATCTGCAGGCTGACGAGGGTGTCGGAGAAATTTCTACCCTACGGAATTTTTCAGAAGGATTCCCCACCGGTTTTCTAGGGAATTAAAATGGGGTGATGTTACTTGTTATTGGCGATCGTTAGGTGTTATCTATATAGATTGTGCCCTATATGAATCAGGTTGAGATTGCATGAGCAGGAATGGGCCTCGGTCCGCAGTTCAACATTTTCTCTGCGTTGTTCAGGCCGGCGTCTAGACTACTATGGAGTCGAAAAAACCGGTAAAAACCACCATCCACACCTCGTCAGCCATCATCAGCATCTCCACCGGTGGAGTATCGACACGGTGGTCAGTGCCTGAGGAGTGTGGCCACTGGCCAGGTCACCGGGACCGGTACAGACAGGGGTATTTCCATGACCTCGCCATCGTTGGGATGCTGCGAGTGGAGATACCCCCCCAATCACATTCTTCGTCTGGCTGACAATGCACAATGGCAAGGTTCCAACTTCTGTCCCGGAAAGTTCTGCGTGGCAGCAGCACGACCAGGTGTCAAGCGTTAAGGCCTCTAAAACCTAGCTGAGTCCTTAGTCCCGGCTCCAAATCTCCACTGTGGAGCGGCACGTACGAAACTAGTAATGGATTTGGCTTTCTGCTAAATCGTGGTTCCATGTGTATCATTCATGCGATCCGATTAGGTATTGGTCGGTTTTTATCCGCTGAATCTATGAAGGTCCATACTACCTACGATTAGTACTGATGAAGATGTGGCATATGCTCGGTTCGAATAGTATTCGACTCAAGAAAGAAGTCTACTCGTTATCCCTCCCAAATGGACTGTTTCCTGATCAGCTGTGCTGCTCTCCATCGAGGTTAATGTGGAAAGTGTCTGTCAAATGGATCCACGGCACAGCTTTGAATATAAGCACACGTGTTCCAATGGGGAAATCACTGTGCTCACGTTCTCATGCTTAATGTCCCCTCAATATTTCTTACATTATTGACCAAACTATGTAGCGTTGAGGACCCAAAACAAGACATGATGTGTGGTCTAAGTCTCATGATACGTGGTATTGCCGTCGTACTCATGTTGACTTCATTGAGCTCGAAAGAGACCAATAGGCATCTTTTGAACACCAACTAAACTTACAAACATGGCCAAAGCATTCACGATGCAAGCTGTTGCATTAGAAATCTGGGATGCCTTCAGGTTTGCATTTACATACTCGCAGAAACTGGGCGTAATGGGACAGACAAGACTAACAAGAGATAAACAACACGCTTCCACAGATATAGGCCCGTAAAACCAATCGAGATGCATGCTGAACAGCAAATACTTGACTGCAAAGCCCAGATGTTGGAAACCAGTATGTTGAAAGCCAGCCATCCAGCTCCTCGATATTGTATAACCATGCAACTATCATAGGCGTTCTGAGCTGCAGACGTACACCAGAAAAAATGTACCCATTGACCAAGGTCTAGGAGCGAATGAACTCGAGCTTGACCGAGATAGCTTCAATTGTGCCTAACTGGATTTCTGTCTGTTATTAGCCACATGAGAAGGACCACACACAAATCTGACGTGTTCTGAAAGTGTGCATATATCAACAATGAGTTTGGATGGGATCGTACCGTGCCCGATCGGCTCGACCTCCCGGGGTCGAGATATAGCACGACCCTGAGCCTGCTACTAGTAACATCACAATATATCTCAAGGATACCATAGTCCATTATCTGGGGGTAGATTCTCATCCGCATAGAAGTAGTCCGGGTTTCGGTGAAAATAAATGTATCGCGTTACTAAACCAAGCATCGCCGTCATCCGTCGCGAATATATCAGAAAGTAAACAATGTCAAGTGTATAACGCCGACTGTAGATAGAAGCGCCAATGTCATGAAGTAATTTGCCAAAGAAAACCGTCTATTCAAGATGAGCCTCGAGCTCAGTCCTCACTCTGCAATTTCGATTCAATGGAGATAATGTCATCCTCTTCCTCAACTTCAATCACACGATTGACTTGTGCGGTGTTGCGCATCAATTCGACGGCGCCAGCGTACATCATTCGCGAATTTGGGTTGCAGTTCTCTGGGAGCCAGTAGAGAAGGACGTAAGGAACCGAAGGGCGACCAGATTTCTGCCGTTGACTGGTCAATAAGAGTGGAGGGTAGACTTTTGCTATGAACACTCACCAGAGTCAAAGGATAACTCAGGAGGATGAAACGGGGCGATGAGTCAGGGAGCTCATCGGCCACGTCTTCCATCTTTGTGTATACTTCGCCATCTTCAGGACGAATCTCTTGGCTCTTTTGGTCGATGATGTCTATCAGGTTGACCGTCAACTTACTCTACACTTGACACCGGGGCAACAAACGGCGTGAGATAATGTGAGCCTTACATATTATAGCTTGAGCTTCCTTTGCTCTAGAAGTTCCTAGACGAAACTTGCGCAATTTCTCCTTCGTCTCCGGAGAGAACGCATATAGCCGAGATTCAGAAGCCTGTTTCCTCGAGATATCGTCAGGGGCGCAACGTTTACGAGGGGGAATGCGGGGCAATCTCACCATGTTGTAAAATACCTTCTCCGGATCAAAGTCAATTATAGTCGCTCAGTTCCTGAACGTTCTGAAAGAATGTGAGGTCTTTGAGTTCCTCGATATAGATCAGGAATTCCGGTGCAAAGTAACACAAAAGGAGAAATGAGCAACGGTAACTAAGTGGTGCTCCACGTTGCTGCGGAAAGTGGGATGAGGCGGAAAGGGAGTTTTTCCCCACTCCACCTCCAAAAGCCGTCATTTAGTCGCCCTGAAACGTGCCTGAGGTTGCGTCTTATCCCCCCATCTGGTTTCCTTTTCTCTCTCTCTCACCACCACCGCCATTTGTGCTTCTCTCCCTCCATGTTCAGTCGTCTCAGTCAGTTGACCCGCCACCTCGCTCGACCGTCACTCAATTACGCTTCCGCTCTGCCGCCCTTGTCGATTCCTCAAACGCGTGCCTCCAACATGACATCATCCGCGGTGCATAACTACACAAAAACGATACACACGGCAGCATGTCTGATCATTGGTGATGAGGTGCTTGGCGGAAAGGTGTGTATTAATTGAATGGAATCGGTCATTCGGCTCTGATAGCCGACCTATCTACTACAATTTATGCCCGACTCTCCCTTTCTCCCTTGCCGCTGGTGTCGTGTGCTGCACCGAGGTCATGTGCCTGTTCCCGAATGAGTGACTGACGGTTGGAGTCCAAACGCTCAGACAATTGATACCAATTCCGCATATTTCGCCAAGTATTGCTTCTCTCTTGGGATACAGCTCAAGAGGGTAGAAGTCATTGCCGATGACGAAAGTGAAATTATTGAGGCCGTCAGTCGCATGAGTAACAACTACGATTTTGTGGTGACCAGTGGAGGCATTGGGCCGACGTCCGTATACCCTATTCCTTTCTCTCGGAAGAATTCACAGTTCCCAAGACCGTCGGCCTATATCGGAAGCTAACTATACGCCCCTTACCTTGGTAAAAAGTCACGATGACATTACGTACGAATCCATAGCCAAGGCATTTGGTCTGAAGTTGAAACTACACCAAGGCGCTTTTGAGCGTATGAAGATGCTCTCCAAGCCTCACCCAATGCAACCGCAATTTGACTGGGACACCCCGTCCCCCGGTCTAACCGCCAAGCTGCGTATGGTTGAACTTCCCCACGATGAGACTCTGTCGGAGGAGCAGCAGGCTACCTTCGTGGCGGATGATATGTGGGTGCCAATCGCCATCGTCAACGGTAATGTGCATATCTTGCCAGGAGTTCCCCGTCTATTCGAGAAGCTCCTTGAGCATCTGAAGCCTACTCTGCTTCCTCGGTTAACCGACCCTGAGGGCAAAGGCATCTATCGGTACTTATTCAGCACCCCCCTCCCCGAAAGTGCTGTGGCGCCTTACCTGACGGACCTTGCGACGCGGACATCTTCACGAGGAATCAAGGTTGGTAGTTATCCCCGCTGGGGAAAGAAGCGTAATACCGTAACTCTGGTTGGAACCGACCAAGATTTCATGGACTCGTTGGTCTCCGAGGTCGAGCAGAATGTCCAGGGCACAAGAGTCTCGCAGGAAGATGAGCTTGACCCCCCTTCCGATGCAGAGGAAAGTAAATAAGGAAACGACCGGTGATATCGATGTACATAGATTTGATGCAACTGTCGATACACGCTTAGACATTAGCCGCGCTCGAAGCATAGAACTTGAGCAACTGCACGCAAGAGTTTGGATGTCTGTCTAGTATTGCGGTTAGATAAATCCGTTCAACCGAACAGTTTATAAGCGAGAATAGAAAATTGATGTATGGGAGATCAAACTCATGAAGTTGAAGAAGCACTACATTCCTATAGAAACTCAATCCCGTGTTGCGCTGGAAATATCAAACAGGACCATCTTTCTCATATCAAAAAAAGTGCTCCTACTGAGCACATAGACGCCTATTTTGCATCCACCCAAAAGTTCCGAGGCAAGATTAATCAATATTTTCATTGAATGGGAAAAACCAAATTATTAAAGGAAAGGAACAGAGAGGATGGGACGAACTATCTTCAGTGCATGTCTTGGCGGGACCGAGTAATGAACAGCAGAGCCGCGAAAAGAAGTCTAGTCAATGATAGACAACCGCAAGATCCAGCACTGAAGTCCCAGACTGCCGCAAACCCCGAAATATTGGTTGCTGGCGATCTGGAGAAAGTGTTCGAACAGCTCAGGTCCTTGCGCGAGATATGTTCGAGAGATAAGCAAAGTGCCACACCAATGCCCAAGCGATGAAAGGAAAAGAACAATGCAAAACGGAGATGTTGCCCCTGCGGAAGATCGCAGACAAACGGCAATAATGATGAAAGGACGACCAAAGATAATTCTGCAGCTCAACGTAACCAGAATGAAAACCATGACAATAGCATGTACCTATATAAATTGCACAGATCTACTGACAGGGTTAATTCCTCGCTCTACCCAAGAACGAGATCGTCAAGAACAGTCTTTCCAAAAAAAATAAACAAACAGAGAAACAAAGGGGGAATCGAACGTTCATGGAGATGATGACGGCATCATGGAGCAGGCATCACATCCGATAGCGAGTCTCGTGTGGTATAAATTTCACAATCCAAAAAGCGTCGACAAGCCATAATTAGCTCCGAGGCCGTGGCGCTATTCCTGTCGCCAATATCTCGTTTTCCAGTCGAATTTTTATTATATGTTTTGCTCCCTTCCGTATCTTGACTCGTGGTGTTTGTATCCTTTTCAACTCCAGCGCCTACCCAATTACATTATAATACACTTTCCGCAGCAACCAGCGCTGTCGCCTGGCTCGCTCACGTCCATTTTGCCCTCTGGGGCGCGATTGCCGAAGCTCCCGAGCCTGACGGGTACGACGACATTTCTTTGTTGTACCGACGAATCTCACGGACGAGGTCGTAAAATGCGTTTTCGACGTTGATGCGAGACTTCGCGGATGTTTCAATAAATTTGCAGCCGAACTGTCTTGCTAAAGCTTCACCCTCTGTTGATAGACACATCCATCAGTCACATCAGTCATTAAGGTGAGAGAGGGGGCTGATTAGCTTGTTACCCACCTTCTACTGTGACGGCTCGCTCCTTCTCTAGATCGCATTTATTACCGACCACGATGATGGGGAAGTAATCCTTGTCCTTGACTCGTAAAATTTGTTGCTGGAATGTCATAATTCTTCGAAGGACTGGCGTGACGTTATGGAGTAAACGAGGAGAAACCCTTCACCGGTTCGCATGTATTGTTCACGCATTGCCGAGTACTCCTCCTGTCCGGCCGTATCTAGGACATCCAACAGAGCGACCTCCTCGTCGATGACACACTGCTTGCGGTACGAATCTGTTTACCGGAATCCGATGAGTAACCAGTGGGGGGACGAGGAATTCTCGAAGGATAGGGGTGGCGACTCACCTTCGATTGTCGGGTCATATTCATCGACGAAGTGACTCTGAATCAATTGAATAGTCAAGCATGACTTTCCGACACCACCACCACCAACAACTACCAATTTGTATTCTCGTAGGAACTAGAGTTCGTCCAAGGGTGAGTAACTTAACTTGCGCCATATTTTGAAAGGGGTATGATAGAATCGGGGCTCGCAGTTGAGCAAGGGGAGGGAGATAGAGCGAGAGGAAGAGGGAGCGAGAGAAGGGTGCCAGGGCCGGGGCGGCGGGGAGAACAAGCTTACCTTTGAAGCCATTCTAGAGTCTTCTGCCCGGATGTGTGTCTGATAGGAAGGATGAAGGGTGCGAAGGCGATGATCGAAGCTATCTCGACGGGCGTAGTGACGGCGGGTCGAGAGAGCGGTAGCACAATTTTCTTTTTTGCAGTAGGGTCAAGAGTCGGGGCCCAGCTTGTCGGGAGTTTCGCGCAGAACAGAGGCGCCTAAAAGACAAGTCCACAGCAACGGCGGGTCTAGTGAGTCGACTAGGCCAAGCTTAAAGGCGGATGGGGGTTGAGAGGATCAGGGGGCAGGAGTTCGTGGAACTGCTAGCAATCGGCGGGAATTGAATGCGAGGCGGTAGGCCGTTTTTTTTCCTTTCGCTATTACGGAGCAGAAACCCGACTTCTCTTCTCGTGTTTCCAAACTAAGCCAAGAACACAATCAAACCGTTGCTCCTTTTAGAGAGGGTTTTAGGGGAAAGAGATGAGGTGGAGATTGAGAGGGGGAAGGGGGAAAGATGATTAAGGAGAGTTTAACGTGAGCAACGGAGGTGGGGGATTAATTGAAGGATAGGGCCAAAAGAGAAGAAGAAGAAGAAGAAGAAAAGAGAAAAAGAAATAATAAAATAAAAAATAAAAAAATAAAAAAAATCCTAACACAGATAAAGCAACATACCGTTTGGTTACTCGAGATGGTTCAGTCAGAGTGAATTTGGAACTTATTACTCTAAGGTTCCTTTTTTCAGGGAGAGCGGTGGTCAAAATGAGTACCGATTGGAGAATAACAACAATCAATAAAAAATTCATGAAAGGGGTCTTTTCTTTTCTCTTTCTCTTTTTTTTCTTTCTTAGTTTTGGGGAAGGGAAAAAAAAAGATAAAAAAAAAAAAGGTGGGTGGCATTAAGCCATTACTGCGCGTGTGGCCAACTTCCGAGACCAATATTCATGTTTAATTACATTAGTTAAAAGCGATTTGCTTTCTTATTAACAAACACACCCCCTTCCGGGAATTGTTATGATAAATAAGAACTTAATTACCTGCTCCAATGCGAAAATTACAGATGACGACTGTGGTTGGTTGTGAGGAAATGAAACCCACCAATACCACGACCATACGGAGTACATGGGAGATAATAATTATGGGTAAATAGATTAGGGGAAAAATAGAGAGAGCAAGACGCTACAGAGTACAGGAAATGAAAGGGACTGATAGTTACTAGTAGTGACATACTTCCATGGATAAATAGAGCAGAGAAAAAAGCAAATAAATTCAAAAAGGGGCAGAAGAGGAACCGCGATGCAAAAAGTTCGTGTTGATTCCTTTGGCTCCAGTCATTTTCCAACCTCCTCTGGGAAGGAGCCCCAGCCACAGATTAATCAATCTTCACTTTGTTCCCACTTCTTAGCGCCAGTCCATCTGAACGCCTCTGCGAAATTCGCCCATTGTTCCATCTGGGCCCCCCAGGAGGGTCTGTCACTTTTTACTCCGATGGATGCAACGACAAACGAATGAACAGTGTCCAGGGAAATGTCTACATCCAATCAATTGCATTGTAAAGTGGATTCTATCGCTTGATCACCTCCCAAGTTCCCGCCTCTGGGTCTTCCAAACCTTGGTCAGCTAATCAATCACATACGCAAGCTTGCTGGGTAGCGCAAGGAAAGATTGAACACCACCCACTCTCTGGATCAACACTGGAACAGCGACTCTACGGAGTATGCATAGTGGATGATTTTAAGTCCTCACATGATTCAGAAGGGGGAGTCTGAAGCCAACCATGCATTTGTGTCATTGGGAGGAACACGGTTATCTTTTTGTTTCTCAACGGGGGACGGTGGAATCCAGATCCGATTGATTGAGGTGACACGGAGAATATATCCTCCATTGCGTGACCTCGGTTTCTAGAAACATTCCTAGCCTGGAACGAAGGCGGACACGGCGGCGAACTAACGAAACTTCCATGGTGACAGCTCGCCCTGCGCGCACTTACATCATCGAATATCCTCTCAGCCTTCAATGACCGTCCTTTGTATCTTGTGCAGCCAGTACCCGAGTCGCAAAAAGTCACATTGCGGCTAGCCTATATCCTTATGGATCCTAGTTCGTGATTCGAAAGTGATTCCCCACTCCTCCACTTACCAAAGATGATATGTAGACAGACTAATGGTCCGTGGTCCGACCGTCTGATCCCTCCGATATCGAGCACGGAGGGGACGGATTATGATCATCACTATCCGCACGATAATGGTGGTTTATCTCTGTACTCCGTACGGACTACGGAGCAGTCCGTAGGATACTAGGACAGACAGAGTATGGAGTAACGAAATGACATATTCAGTTATCATATCGTTCCGCTTACTGAGCGATGTGATCGTCGTCTTGTATTGGCTCCATTCAGAGATACCCGAAATCCCTTTGCAGCCTAGACATTGGACCCCATCCCCAGTTGCATCGGTACGCCTCCAGCCTCGGGGCTACTGCATCGTCTCGGCTGATCACTTGGGGAATTGGCGAGCTTTAGAATGGTGTCCGTTCGCCCTAGAGACGAATTAGAGGTATTCGTCCGACACCAACAATAGCCCCCATATCCATGAGGATGATTACTACATGGCAATGCTACCTTCTCTGATATCAACCAGGAAGACACAGCGATAGACAGGCATGGTTGGGGGGTTTTTTTTTCATTCTGAACACGGCCGATGTTCACCAGGATTTAAGGAATCAGCTCAATTGCTTAGATGTCTTGTCAATTCGGCCACTAATGTGAAGTTGACACCCATCGATTCGCGTGCAACCAAACCTGTTGGTTTCTCCTGAGGAGGGGCCGATCTTTTTGTTTTAGGGGAAGCCTTCAAAAACTAGACGCTTGGCATTGGGAGTGCGTGGAGATTACTCACGTGGTGGGTACCCGTAACATGGTCTAGTAACCGACCTTCCGAGCGACAAAGATCCAATCAGTTGGGGGCTCAAGATTTCTCTACCATTTTCCATGCATATAATATCGAACAAGGGTTGGTCTTCCCGATGAACTACTACATACAGCAGATTTCGATGACATCAATCTGCAGTCTAGAACTTCTCTTTTTCTTTTGACAACATCACTTTTTGTGGCTTGCTTACCCCGACACCATCCTCAAGGTGGGTTGAGAAAAAAGAAAAGAAGGATACAACTGGGAAATGATGCACAAGCTGGTAATGCAACCGAATCACTATACTAGCCCAGGTCAGAACCATCCACCGGGGGCGAAAAGCGCATCCAACATGGATTGACAACGATCTCACCACCAACGCCCGGCTTAATGCCCAATTACGTGGTATGGATTGGATTCGACAGCGCCATGCCCCTTTTTCTTTTCGGCGCTTCTTGTCCATTGCTGTCCGGGCACCGGCCTATCAATTGCTTTGTTCCTATGACTGGGATCACACCATATACTACTCACCACGAGGAACCAACAAAATTATACCTGGAGCAAATGGCCCTATCAGAGACCACATTCGAACGGGTAATTTATGACCCGTGGGTTGAAAGGGCGCCCGTGGCCCTGGTGGAGCCGACTGTTCGTTACCCCTTTTCGGATCGAATTCCAAAGGGAAAGAGAGTCTTGATATCGCGTAGAACAGAGCTGTGATTACTTTGGATGTTGACTATTTTTGGTTCTGCAATCCAGCCCCGATATGCAAACTGCAGCTCGCTGTCACCTGGAGATATACGTGAAGGCCTCGTATTGGTTGAGTTTGGCCATCCATGTCTATCCTACATATGTAGGTGGCCTTTTAGTCGTTCCTGCAGACAGGCTAGTTACTGCTGTCCAACTGCTAGTGCAAACGTATGCCAAGTCTGTTGTGCTTTTAGGCTTACATACATTGGTGATTTTTAAAATCCTTTTTATGTAGTTGTTTGATGGCCTTGATTCATAGGGATTGCAATCCTGCAGTATCTGTCTTCTATGTCCAATATATATAGTAGGTTCACAGCACTAACGTCTAAAACTCATGTCTAATTCTTGTGCACATGACCGGGTGATGCCTGGAACCAATCAGTACAGCTGTTCCGGAACAGGAAAACCCCATAACCATCCATGGGTTGGCAATGACTTGAAAATGGTGCAATAAACTCACCTGGTGGCTGGGGAAGATTAGAGTGTCAGCAATCACGACATTCTCACGCCGGCCAGCGGCAAATACAATAACTTCCGCGATATCTTCCGGGGTAAGTGGCTCGCAGTTTCTGCACAATAATCCGTCAGCTCTGCCCTTCTCACACAGTCATTCCAAGAAAGTCTTACGCATATACGGCATCAGCCTTCTCCTTATCTCCGTAGAATCGGACAACGGAGAATTCCTAACACCCACCTAATTAGCTTTCATAATCGCGCAGAGATGATCAAAAGGAACCCCTCACAGTCTCAACCTGACCAGGATCAATTTCGATGATCCTTATTCTCGAAGCGATGAGCTCCTTTCTTAAAGCCTCGGTAAACGACTTGACAGCCGCTTTAGTCGCGCAATAGATGCTGCCACCCGGATAAGCTTCACGACCAGCGATACTTCCAATGTTGATGATGTCTCCACGACCGCCATCACCCCGCTTCTTGAAAATCGGAAGGATCGCCTGAGTCATGTTGATCAACCCGGTGACATTAGTGGAGAACATGACATCGATATCCTCCGGGGCGATCTCAGGAGCTTGGCAACACCCTTGACAAGCCCGCTAATCTCCGTCAGTACACCGCAGCTTCATCATCGGACCAAAAAAACGGGGCATCTCGCTCGAAACTCACGCATTGTTGACCAGGACGTCGATATCCTGGAACTCCGCTGGCAGAGAGGGTACGAAGTTCTGAACCTCGGCCGGGTTGCTGACGTCTAGTTTCACGGCCAATGTCTTCACGCCGTCACCAACTTCCTCCTTGATCTCCTGCGCGAGCTGGTTCAGAGAGTCAATTCGTCTGGCTGTCAGGATAAGCTTCAGGTTCTTGGGCGCCGTGCGAGCGAACTCCTTGGCGGTACTGCGACCGATGCCGGATGACGCGCCGGTGACGACGATCGTCTTGCCCTCGAGGCGCTTTGCCATCGCCGTTGCCATTGTGCGTTTCGTGATTGCCGGTTGGACTGTACAGGAAAACGGGTTCCTTCGGGCAGATGGAGTAAGTGTGGAGAGTGTAGTACCAGTACCTGAGGGGGAGGAAGCTAGGTGTCGTAGAAGTCGGATGGAATTGCAACAAGCTCGAAAATGCTTCATAAAGAGCTTTTTTCTAACCCCGCGATACCCTCTAAATTAGGAATTTAAGAAGTAAATAGAAGAACGGAGAAGATAGGAGTAAAGATAGCCAGTGATACGAGGGCCGATGAGTCGGAATGCTGTGCGGGGAAAGCCATATCCGCATGTCGTGATTCGGCATGGCGGCGGGGTTCCGTTTCGGCTGAAGGTTTGGCCGATCGGCCTTCCAGCCGAAGAATATCCTTCTTCTAACGTCATTGGAAGATGATATTGCGTCGAAGTATAGCTCTGGCCGGGTATATGACCATAGCTAGACTTCGACAAAGGGGACATTTGTTGGATCATTGTGGAACTCACTTGAGAAGGAAACTGAGAAATGGCCCTCCCATCCATACTGGACATGTATATATTCCTGGGAAGCATATTTTAAGATGGCAAATACAGCTCAAAAATATTCAATAACAGTTCGATGAGTACTTTCCAGACTAGAGAAGACCATGCTTCAAAGCGTTAAGTATATACTTTCTTGTAATATAGTAATCATGGAAGTAACGCACTATTCGCCAATAGAAAAGGGCTTGTTAACCATAGTCCAGGGTACATAAAAGTTAGTTTTAAGGTTATCAGATGTAAACTAGCCCTTTACATCTGTAGCAGGTAGCCAGATACATGATTAGTATTGAACCACGTCAAAATTAGTACTAGGTAGCCTCTAGTCTTCTCTCTAGTACAAAAGACAATTAGTTAGACTTAAGCTATCTGTTAGCCCTACGTAAGATAGATGTACGAAGACTAGTTTGATCTAATCTTGTCGAACTTCAACGAAAGCAACTTATCATTTCGATTCTTCTTCGGCGTACTTAGACAAACTGAAACTATAATATGGTCTCTTGTGTTTATATACAATGTGGCCTCATCCCGAATGTCTTTTGCCGGGGCTATGTTTACTAGAATCTACCGTTACTATATGTGAGGTTTCAAGATATGTGTCTGGAAAGTAAGATAAATAACTGGAACCTCCATGACAAAATTACCGGATGAAATAGAAAGAAGTCTATCACTACCTGTAAGACCGATGCTAATAACATGACGCTAGTTATATGACCAGCTTAATATTTTTCTGAAACTGGTGTCCTAGACTGCAAGGAACCTATTCTAGTGGCTAGATGATACAAGGATATTTACCAAAAGGCCAACATTATCAACGAAATACCCCTCGTGGGCCCTGGAACCTAACAAGTAGCACGCTAGATAGCCTAAGGTCACCGTGTGCCTTACACAGACCTTGCTGTCAGTCGTAAATATATCCTGTCGGAAACTGAGATAGAGAGAACTCATATACCATATCATATCCTGCACTGTGAGGATGGAAAGTTATTTCAAGTACTTGTGCTGGCCTGAGTGCAGATAATTGCACCGACGTAGTCGTTTATAAAGTCTTGGACAAATTCAAGCGGGATTAAGACGTGTAGGCTACTACAAACATCCGTTCATGAGTCAAAGCAGGTCTGCAATTTGAGTTATATTAGCTAGTTCTTGAGGGCAAAGTCTAACTAGCGAACAATGAGCACAAAGAACAGCCTTATAGCCTTTGTACTGGGCAAGTAGTGTGGTATAGATATAGTGTGCTGTCTGACTTTTGTAGGCCTTGTACTTGAGAGACAAAAGTCGGATATGTTTCTACTCTTTGAATCTTTTGTAGCTGGATCTTTAGTCAGTCATGCAACCAAGTTACCTATAGAACAATGGGCTTTCTTCTATGTAGCGAGATGCTGTATATCTAAGCTACTCCTTTGATACGTTAACCTACAAAGATTCAGAAAGCTTAGTTTATCCTTGTTCTTGATTGTCTGATACCTTACAAGCTTCTTTAACTCTTAGTAAACCATAAACGAACAATAAGCCACCAGGAACTCGGAACAATGACGCCTGGGAGCTATCAATACGCAGCATCTCTAGTCTACAGGGGATCCAAAGACTCAACTTGAAGGTGGGAGGAATGTCCCATGTTATAATGGGAAGATTCTAGATGCTCTTTTCAAAGAGGTCGTTATTCCTACATGGAGCGTTCAATATCTGGAGCTCCACAAACATCATCTGACATTCTTAAAACAGGCATATTCCCACTGTAGATTATCATTTCTACATAAAGAACTCCACTAGGAAGCTCGGACATAAACTTGGGTAGTGAATAAGCCAGTACATGGTAGACACAAACATACATACATCTGCGTTTCACTGATAACCCTCTTCTGCAAGCTCCAGGACTATCAAGTAAACACTCCCCCTACTGTTGCACAGTGTGCTAGATAGAGCCAGTATATTATTCAACCTTATTTCTCTTTGTTTCTGGTTTCCAACTGGTGTATCTTATCTTATACGTAACTCAACAATGATGCTTTAGGTTGCATAGGATTATGAACAATGCGGCTTGGGAGAGCATGGACATGAAAGAACCCCCAGCTTCTTTCTGGTTATAAGATGGAATCTCCGTCAGTTATATGAGTGTGTCCAATTGTTCATGCAATTCAAGCAAAAGTAAACATTGGGCCTACAGCCATTATTCTATCCGGGCTGGTGTTTTCCTGAGGCAGTGGCACAGTCTTGAATGTATTGGCAAGTCTTTACCACCTTTTACAGCAACCTGCAACAGTACTCACGAAGCCAAAATCTACTATAATCCCCCAGAAGCAGTGTATATATGCACCTTATGTCTTCCCCAATCTTCAGTGGCTGCTTCAATGTATCCTCTGCTTAAGCTTTCCCAATCACTCTTCATATTAGACTACATTTACAGGACGCCATCTACATTATAGAGGCTCTATACACCTTCAACTATTGACTATTTACCATACTGATTATGGGTCAGTATACTGATACCCTTCGTAAGCAGGTGAGTGACTGACCCGGCCATGTGGTATCGCACTATTCACTAACCACCAGTTGTTTGTTTGCCCAGTATATCATTGAGGCCCTTAGGCCTAGTTTTGACTGGGCCGAAGATGTTGAGGAGGCGCTCGAGCAGCAGTATGAGCGTTTGAAATCTACCCACAGCACCGCCTCGAGTGCTAGGGTGGGCAATAGATCTGAAACACTGGGCGATACTGATACCCCCATCTCTTCTCAGCTAGGAACTGACAGCTCCCGGGCTAGGGGACAAAATTGTCTAACGCGATATCGACACGGGAGCAAAGGTCGCCATGGAAAAGGGAAAGAGGTAGAGCCAGCCTCGGAACCATGTAGACCTACTGTGAGCACTTCACTCCATGTCAGGGAAGATCATGAGAACGACCTATATTATAGCTATGACTACAACGAGGAGATTGCACAGATGCAGACTGAACTTGACGAAGAGTTTATATTTCGCAATGATTGTATGGCACATGACGAACAAAGACTTATACACCATTTCAACTGGTTCGGTCACCCGATGTACGAACCCAGTGGGACGCCTCCAGCGATCTCCCTTCTTTTCCAACTGGCAGACCCAAAGATGCCCAAGCCCAGAGACGAGCTTCGCATTCAGTCTATCTTTGCGAGGGCCTTCATGTTCATCGACCCAGTTCTTGTTGAACTTGAGAATGGCCTGCAGGATCTGGACCGAGAAGGCTTCGATCTTGTTCGATGGGCTACTGGCCGCGTTTCCAAATTCTATACCTTACATGGCCGATGGAAGGAAGATTGGTTTGAATGGGATGAATGCAGGTCTCCAGATTCGGGATTTCTCGAACTGTATCAAAGTAGATCTCTGGCCTGTGGCAACGGCTTCATTAGCCTTTGCAACATACGATCAAGGCAGCAGTGGGCATCTCACAAGGCTCAGCTTCAAGAGCAATATGACAAAGCTTGCCGATTCGCAGCACAGAATTTCTATAAAAAGAGACAATGCAGGACCTATAAACCTTCTTTGCTGAGACAGTCCATGAACCTGAGAGATTTGGAATGGGCTGCGGGTGAGACATCTGCTTTATATCGCAGGGGGTTTATGCTAATTGGTGACAATAAAGACGATCAGATAGAGACGATCAGCGATAGCTCAATCCATGAGGAAGAGCACGATACGCTCTCCGAGGCCTTTCTTGATGATAGCGACGAAGAAAGTTGCGATGTGCGATGTAGAGAAACGGATGCTAACGACTTTAGGAAAGGAACGCAACAAACAAAGACCCAGCGTTTCGAAATCCATACTACAGCTGATCAGGTTGCTGACACTGACACTATAGACGTTATAGAGACCTACGAAGACTGGCCGGGTTTTATCACATCCCAGCATGCAACAGATTCAACCGACACCTGGGAAGCCCTCAGCAGGACGCCAGGCGGCGGTCGAAAAAAGGCCTCTCTTAAGAAGACCCGCCTTGAATGTTGGAAGTACAACCTAAGTTCCTGGAAACTGGGATTGAAGATAAAGATTTCCGAACGCCGTCGGATATTATACACCAAGGCTCAGAATGCGTTCGGACCAAAGGAGTTCACGCGTTACTGATGCTGACCCCAAGACGATAGTTTTAAATCCACACTAATGTTGCCCCATGGCTAGATATCAATCTCAGCTCTTACACGTCCTTCACAAGCCGGACCAAATTCCAACGAGACGTCGGGCACTTGGACAATATGGGTTAATTGAAACACTCTGATAGGGATAGTTTCCAACTTCCAAAGGTCTTGTCAGGACTGGGATTGATATCTAGCCAAGAGACAACATTGGTGCGGGTTTGATATCCACCATTATCTCGGGGCAAGGGTTGGTAGGCTCTAGTGACAAGATCTCTCACCGACAGATAGGCGTAGAACCGCACCTTCTGAACCTTTGTGCATATCAAGCGACAGTGTTTGTCGATCCGTTCTTTCAACGCTGCATTCAAGCTTTTAGATCAATCCTGTGACCATTCGAAGCGAATCAGATCACCCAGTTTCTCCGTATATGTCGTCATGATCTTGTGGAGAGTTTTTTTTGGTTTTGTTAGTGCTTGACCGTTTCAGGTGATCGTCAGGGGGGGGAAATTGTCATTTGTCGACACTCGCTAAACACAACTCTCTCTTTCCCTTCTCCCTCACCTGGTCAACGATCGTCGCGCGATCTTTGACAGTAATAACACAGTCGTATTAACTAGTGGGAATGATGGGCAGCTTAGGCCTCAATTGATTTATTTGACGTCGATGGCACCGTTACAGTGGATTCAGCCTCATCGGTTTGCTCCCCCCATGACTAGGAGTTGTCTACTGGGAAAAGCCCGTTTCTCACCCGTCAACACTTATGCATTTTCTTATTTTACTTTATTCATTGATTACTTAAAGGGATAATATAGCATTGATGGTATAGTTTGATCCCTATTCAATAAGGGGCGAAAAGAAGCTAATGCAGGGCAGCGTGGAAGGAAAGGCTGAACCACATGGAATGCGGGTCAAGACTAGTCTTCCCTAAGTCCAAAAGCTCGTGGCGTCCATTCTTCTGCGAGATCGTTCTTATCAATCACACTCGACCGAGTTTGTTCTTTGCGGCAGTGGAATTCAATAGTGGCGTACGGACCGTCTGGTTGGAGCCCGAAGATCGCCAAGCGAAGCAATAGCGCAGTTGAATCTGCTGGTTATGTACTCCGTATGTAAAGTTACATACATGTGCCACCCTGAGGCCCCTTGCGTCCACTTGGCAGGAGGACATGCATGCAAGAAATTTTCTATTGGGCCATGAGTGGCTTGCTGGACAGGCCATTTTTATCCACCAATATGAACCCTAATGACCAGATCAGGGCGAGATATGCGCGAAACACGTCCGGACTCCGGAGGTTCTCCGTACTGTGCCGATACCTTCCCGGCATATTTTACCCCGATATTCTCCACATTCTCTGTTCTGAATTACCTGCATCATCCATTGCCGGTCATTGAAACACAGCAGTCAACCGGCTCTTGAAGGCGGTCATTGCCATCCGTACTTGACTTTTTTCGGTTTGGCTTGGTGCGGCCGCACTTGATAGTCAAGAAAACCCAGTAGACACGTCTAACGATACTCCACTGTGTCGATCATGCAACAAAGAGGGACGCTGTCCCTTGTAAAGCCCGCCATGGCCGACCTGTGTGCAGGTCTTATTTCCGGACAATGCTTCGTATTCGGTGAGCAGGCGGTTTACGACGGACGAGTCCAGGACGTCAAGACTTCGACAGTAGACAGTCTGTTCCACAAGCAATGGAACGCCAACATTGCCCCTTTCGGCCAAGATTCGCGGTGGAGGCTAAAAGTCGTCACTTCGAACAACCTGGCTGGCCCTCGGGGAGTAAATGATCGTCCCTTGCCTGACTCGGGACCCAAAAGGGAAAGGGAGTTGCAGAAAGAGATCTTGGAACTTGGGACTACATCCCCAAAACCAGAGACTGTACTGTGTATCAGCACTGGAATAAAACAATTGCTTGCATAAATCATACTCTAAGCGATGGAGTTGTGCCTGGAGAACCGACGATCATACGATCTATTACGGCCTGCGGCGGTACCGACATGCTGCATTCCACGGGTACTCCGACACAACATCCTATACGAACTTTCTCGGAAACTAAGTTACTGGGAACCACTCGGACCCATGGCATGATTTATTTCATAAAGGCGAAACCAAGATACAGTCATGTTTATTGCTATTGAATCCGACCTCAATCGCGAGAGTTTATGGTTATTATATCAGTTCAAGAAGTCCAACCCAAGATAAGATGCACTATTGAGCGAACTATCTGTCTTGCATGGCAATTCCTCTCCACGCTGAAGCCTCGTTGACCTACATGCACTCGTGCGCACTAAAAGCTAAACCGGCACTGGGGCTTTTTCGTGGGTGAGCAAAGGAAAAGTCCGAATCAGAGGCGCTAAACAGTGCCGACGACTCCACTCCCGGCCACGGCACAAGTAAATCTTTCCTCTACAAGGAAGGACTAACAAATTGTGGCTACCATGGGTCTGCCTATAACGAAACGACACCACATTGACAGAATGTCTATCTGACAGTGTCGGAGCACAGTCGTTGATTCGCTGTACAGGATATACAACCCACACAGACGACGACGCATGTGGAGGCATGCCAAGTACCTTCATCGCTAGTTCTAACAATGCAGTCGGTTACCGCCACTATGGAACCACATGGGCGAAAGGAATGCAAGAAAAACGTATTGCACTAGTTATCTGTTAATACTTTGCAGGCTCGCAGCGAGTCATTGTGATTCTGTCCCAGGACTCAGAGTACGCTATTGCAGACTATCAAACTTTGACTACCACATATCCAGCATAACGAGCGCCCCCCTCTCTCCAGAGCCCACCAAGCTTTTCATAGATAACCTCCCCACACGCCAAAGTTATCGATGCCACAATCTTTCATGCAGCTCACTCTACACTGACCTCTGGTTACAAGCCTGGGGACTGTGCATCATTTAGGACTGACTACTGATGCGCAGCCAATTCGGACTAATGATCACATTCGCTTTGTATACGAGGATCCCTTCGAGTCACTCTTTATTAGTATCATAACATCACAATGGACGAAATACTGCCACACATTCTATTTCCTCGAGACGGCGATGATGGAGCATCACGGGGACAACGTGCACTGGTGGTGACAGCCGTGCTAACTGCCATTTCTATCCTCGTGGTTGGCATGCGGATGTATGCTAGGATTGGCTTGCTGAAAATGATCGGTCGCGAAGATTACACAATTCTATTTTCTCTGGTAAGCGCCATTACTGGAGAGCTGCTGTTGTATATTACTCGATGAGTTGCTTACCTATCCCAGGTACTTGCCATTGTCTACCTCGCTTTAGTAGCTGCCCGTAAGTTTCCCGAGAGGATTTGCTTGATGCCCCTTCAGACCAGTCCTGACTCGCAACAGAGGTGCATTTTGGGCTCGGCACGCATAATTCTGCTCTTTCCGATGAAGAATTGAAACAACAATTGAAGGTATGCAATCACAAAGTGTATCTACTGCCTGGCATATGCTCATCTTCTATTGCTGTAGCGACTTTGGGCGGCCATTCCTTTTTATAATGCCAGTCTCGCACTCACTAAATTCTCGATTCTTTTCCAATATCTCCGCATCTTCCCCGACCGTCGATTCCGTATGGCTTGCTGGGTCGTGATGGGCGTTGTCGCGTTGTACGGGACCTGGGCTGTTGTGAGTGCCTTCGTAAACTGTGTCCCCGTGGCCAAGTTCTGGGATCGAACGATCGCTGGCTCGTGTCTGAGCTTCGAGGCCGTTTGGTTCTTCAATGCATCAATGAATATCGTCACCGACCTCACGCTCCTTATCATGCCGATGCCTCTTCTCTCTCAACTACAGCTCCCGCGCCTACAAAAATTTGCCCTCATGGGTGTTTTCGCCATCGGTGGGCTGTTGGTCTCCCATTGTAGCAATTGTATATGGAGGGTGATGCTAACTACAAGCAGGGTGGTCATAACCAGCATCCTGCGACTTTCTAGTCTTCGCGCGGTCGCGAAAGATCCCGACACATCTTGTAAGGAAACGCAAGAGTGATTGCATGGTATCCATCGCTAACCCTAATCAGACAGCAACGTGGGCGCCTCGTACTGGACCGCAGCGGAGTGCAATGTGGCCATCATATGCGCCTGTCTTCCCTTCCTGCGACCGATTGTCAGCTGCCTGTTCCCTAAGCTGCTGTCGACTCAGAGCTACAACCACTACACCCGGAATCCAACCGCCACTGTTACCACTCGGTCCCGGGCCACGCGCATGCATCTGCCCTCACAAAATGACGATTTCGGCATGTGCACGATCGATGTCGAGCAGGGCGAAAGGAGGCCCGACGATGCCTTCAAGGGCATCGAAGTGACCACGGAGATGTACCAAGAAACCTCCAAGAACGACGAGTCCACCAGTCAACGAAGACTCGTCATGGAATCATGATTGACGCCATTCCCCCCCCCATTTACATTCTTTGTATATTTTTTTCTGTTACCAGCTTTATACCATCCTGTCCATGTCTTCACGGAAACCACTTTCATTTTTTGCACACGACTGTTATTCCATGGGAGGCTTAACTGTACATTATTCGCATGATACCATAATGACCATCAATCCAACCACATACACACATACCATACAAGAAATCACAAACTTCCACCCAAACATCCGATATAATATAACATAATACAACATAACATCATCCC